TTTACAACGTACAAACTCATTAGAGTGGTTGGCTTTTCCTCTGACAGATTTAGTGAGTAAAAAAGGTCAAAGAAGAAGAAAGATGAGTGCTAGAGGAAACATATCAAGTTGGCTCTGATGCTAGACAGTAAAAACCAGGAAAATAGCCAGAAAGCAGTTGAAACACTGGGATTAGGGACCAATTAAAGAAAAAGGAAGAAAACTTCAGTGATATTGCGGTCTGATCTGTTTGCTTAGGCCTCAAGCAACCATGGCCCTTACAAGAACATTGAATCTTTAGGCTGGAAAGGGCAATGACCCTGGTGGCCTATGCATCTTACCTATGGTTTCCAAGATATTGGCTGCAAGTCCTGGCAGGTTTCCAGAAAAGAAAGAAAAATGTAATGTTTGGACGCAAATATAGTACTGGTCTCTAGCACTCCAAAAACTTTTTTTACTGGTCTCCCATATCAGATAGCTTGAGATGTTCTGACCTGAGGAATGTAATTTGTATCAAGCTCTCCCTGAATTTTCTCTCTCTTTCTGAAAGTTTGGTGATTGACTGCACTTAAAGGCATCTCTATAAAGTCCAATAGAAAGCATCTGTTTGGCAAACTTTGGATATCTCAAAGGATAGAGATCTTAACTGCTGATTAGAGAAACTAGAGATTTGGGACAGTTGAAGCAGATTGTTGGGACATGTAAAATTGTTGGACTGTAGTGTATAGTTCAGTAGGTGCCTGAAGTCATGCCTTGGTGGAAATAATATGTGGAAATTCTTTGTTTTTAGGCTTGTGCATTCAATGTAATTCACAAGAAGGGAAAATGCAGCCTGTGGGCCATATATCGGCCATATTCCCACTATCTGTGATTCAAAGTATCCTTTCAAAAATAATTCAGGCAAAACATTAGCAAAAACACAAACACTATTAGTGGTAAATTTGTAACAAACCCACACCTAAGTCACAAACACCCCCAAATATTGTTAAAATCCCAGAAATCATAACTGATGATAACTTCCGGTTGCAACATTTGGCTGCTTTTTGCCTCAAAAAATGTTGGTCCGCAGATGTGAAAATATGGTCCTTTCCCATTTATTGACACTTGGCAAACAAATAAGTAACTTAATAGAAGGTAGCTAATAAAAACGAACCTGTAACCTCTTAAAAGGAAGTATATGTACAGTGAAAGAATCTCCACTAATGTGTGATAAAGGACATTTGGATTTCAGAGACGGGCCAATTTGTCAACTAAATATTGAGACTTATGAGGTATGAATTGTCGTGCAAATTTTAAGCACCAACATTATTTTCCCACTATCTTGTGATGGTGGTCCCATGATATGTTACATTTTTCTAGTGGAAATGAATAACTAAACCTGGCAAATTCTGTGTTTTTGATGCAGAAAACACTTCCATATAATCCTGTAGTATTTAAAAAACTGACCTAATGTGTTATGAGTTTTTAAAGGCTAGGATACCCAGTAGTTCAGAAAACAATGGATAGTGCGCAGGGACACTGAATTTCCAAAGGCCAAGAAACACAACGTGAGTGTACATGCCATCTAGAAAGAACTAATTCAAAATACCACAAAATTAATACAGTAAAGTAAATACAGGCCAGGATTTCACTGTCTCTATCCCAACAAGATGTAGGAAGGGATGAGTAGTTTGGGAGCTTCTATTAATACTTTTAAAAGTAATTAAGATATCAGTTGCAGCCCCCTTAACTATTATGAAGCATATTAGTAAAATAAATACGGAAATATGATATCAATATTTTTATAATAATCTGAGAATATATCCAAAATAACTATATTAATTGGGGTAGGGGTAGGAGAGAAGGAATGGGAATACAGTGTTCCCTCACTTATCACGGATGTTACGTTCCAGGACCACCCGCAATAAGTGAAAATCTGTGAAGTAGGGACGCTATATATGTACAGTACTGCCTCAGTGCGTGCAAGGTATAGGCCGCCCCCTCCTAGGAGTGCCTCTGCCCATTCTTCTCTCTCCCTCCCCCCCTTTCTCTCACTCAATCCCTTCACCTTCTCTTTCCTCCCTCTCCCTTCCTCCCTCCCCTCTCCCCTTGCACACCAAACTTCCCGCTGGCTCCTCCTTGCACACCTGGCTCCCCCTCCCCTCCTCCTTCCCCGCTCGTGTGCAGCTTCTTCGCCTTCTGGTGGCTGCGCTGATAAACATGGTGTCAGAGGGGATGACACAGGTAATGGGTATACAGTACAGAGTTCCCTCGCGACTTGTATATTTAAAATTTATATTTTTAAAAAACTATGAAACAGCAAGTCCACGAAAAGTAGCGGGGGAACACTGTATTCCATTTATTCAAATGGTGTCAGTGGCCATTATCCAAAGAACTAAAGAAATTGGGCTTAGACTTGTGTGTGTCCCCCCCCCCCCCAGTCGATCTCTCCTTCAGACTGTATACCAAACACAGCAATTCTTTGGGTGTTACCCTGTAAGCATGATTGCCACTAACTGTATCATCTTGATAAATCTGGTAATAAGAACTGAGCTATGTGTGATTGTTTATAGATCTGCACTGGGATGTTCCTCCTCCTCCTCTTCCCAATTACACTTCAAATTTCAGCTTGTATAGCAGACATGCTCAAAATATCTGACCTACCAAGGCAAATGCAACCTGTTCATTGATTTATTATTAACATGACAGCTGCTTCTACATTTCCTGTTTTCTCGATACAGGAAGTAGGCAGCAGATTCAGGGAGCCATCCACAGAGGATGACTGGTGATCAACATTTGGCTCCGCGAGTCACGTGCTCGGCGGCCACAATTTTCAGAAAATGTTGGAACTGTTTTAGAAATTCTAGAAGATTTTGGATGCCAAGAACAGATCTGTTTGAACTATCCTTAAAATAGACATTAAGTTTCAGGAGACTGGTAGAATAACAGGGGAGATGTGTATGACAACAGCATCACTGTTGAAATATTTTTGCTTCAAAAAGACAGCACCATTTCCAGACAGCTATGGAAGATAATGAAGAAATCATGCAGCATTTGTTGTTTATGACTTATTAAAAGGCACCTACAGAAACTGTAATGCCATGCATGTGGTTGTGGGGTGTATTTTTCATTTTGTGAAAATTATTTTTGTTAGTAAGACTTTCTTATGAGAAAATATGATTGCAATTTAATTGGGAGTCTCTATGTTTTGTGCTACATGCATGTACAGTAACTGATAGTGTTCATGCAACCCAATCTCATTCATGTTTCCTGAGAGAGAGGTCTTGTTGAGCTGTCTGAGACTTACTCCCAAACTTGTTGTACATGGGATTGCGACCCCAGGAGCTTTTGGGCCTTCCCAGTCATAGAGCACAGCTGACTTTCTAATTTGTAACATAATTCTTCCTGTGTCCATTCCTTTGAAGTGTAATGAGTCCATTCTTTCCATGTATTAAAACCGCAGCAGCAAAAAGATTCATACAAGGTCATTCAGAAACTCATGATAGATCAAGGAACATAACAACAATCTGCCAAGTTTAAGACTGACTCCTCCGGCATCGTTTCTCTCTTGTTTCTTTTCTGGGTTTGCCTTTTTTTGAAATTAGTCATGTTAAAAGAAGGTCCACAGAGGATTACATTGAGGGGAGAAATACCTTTAAGGTAGACTTGGATATCTTTCTATTTGTTTGCTTTTAAGTTAAGCTTGAGGCTGTGAGTTGCATATAAAGTGTTCCTTAACATGAAAAAAAAATTTATGCTTCCTTTTGTCTGGCTTTTATTTTTTTGCTTTTGTCTTCATTTCTTGTGTAAACATTGTAATATTATGATTTCATTCTGTCTACTGTAATTTTATAGAAAGAGATGTTAGAAGTTTGTGACATATTTGTCAAAGTGACGCATTTACATTATAAGCAAATTGATTTGTCAACAACTCTTTCTTTAACAGCAGCTATTTTTCTCGACATAAGCCAAAAAGCTTTTGTCTTCTTATAATATTATGCCTGCTGTTGGTTGTCATTGTAGTCTTTAGCACTGGATATTAATTGGCGCATAAATGTAAAACCAAAACATATAACTCTGGCTTTAGTTTTTATTGAAATATTAGTGAATGTCAGCTCTGTATTATGGAAACTAAATTTGAATGTGGGAAAAGTTAATAATTTAAAGTCTTAAAATATTACTGAATTACAGAATCTAAAAATGGAAGTTTATCTTCACCCTTTTTGTGTGTCAGGAGTGACTTGAGAAACTGCAATACTCAGTCAAATCGGACCCCTAAACTTCTGCTCAAAGTGTAGCCTGCATGCAAGGTTTTTCCCAGCCATATATTAAAAGAGTGAAACTACAAACAATAAAATATCTTTTTTCCACTCTTTGTTCAGAGTTCTGTAAGAAATGAATCAGATCACAAATCACTGTGGGTTCTTGAGTTGAGAACTGGTGACTTATTTGTCAGACTAGAGAAGGCAATTATTCTTATGCTCAGATGACATATATTCTTTAAAGGGATTTCAAACATACTTTGAAAAGAGGTAAAGGGGCTGATGCTGCTTGATGGCGTAACTATTTAACAGTTCAGATCTCCTAAATTTCTGAAATAGGATGATTTGAAGCAAACAATACTTTCTTGGATTGTAAAATCTCCATCTAGTGTTCAACATAAGATCTATCATTGCATAGCAATAATGATGTCGGTGTAGGATATACAGGTACCTCCCTTCCCACCAATAGTTCATTCAAATGAGATCCACATTGATATGAAGTGTATCAGCATGTGAGGGGGGAAAAGTGATGTTGCTATTGCTGCTTTGGAAGCATCAATACATCTCCATAGCTACCATGAATTAGCAACTTCTGTTTGATCCCTGGCTCTTCCCCCTTCCACCTAGTTATCCTTGCAAAAATCTGGCATTTTTGTTGTAGAGAACAAGTGATCTTGATGAGTCTTAAATGTCCCAAATTGCCCAGATGTCACCTTTTGCCTTTGTTTTCCCTTTTCCAGTACTTCTTAGTCACTTACCCGTTATTTTTTGTTTCTTTAGCTATTCCTCCTAAATTGAAGGAGATGAAAAGCCAGGAATCTGCTGTGGGTCAGACGCTAGTTCTCAGATGTGAAGCCCGTTCTGAACACCCCTCTCTCAAATTCAAATGGTTAAAGAATGGAAAGGAAATAACAAAAAGAAACAGACCACAAAATATCAAGATCAAGAGTCCCAAAAAACAAAAGTAAGTATACAGTGATGTATTTAAAAAGTTGAGGTGTGAAGGGGAAGTGGGGCTGTTCAGTATTCACCAAGGATGCAGAGATCAGTATTACGTGCAATAGCTTGCTCAACAATATGTTTTGATGTTTGGAAGGAGAAGATTAATAGAAATAGGTTGTCACTTTATTTGTCCTGGATGGTTATAAGATGTTAATGCTGCTATATTCTGTTACATAATAGTTACAACTGTTCTAAAGATGTATATATTTTATTTATTTCCAGTATTTCTATCCTGTCCTTCTCAACCCCCGAAGGGGGACTCAGGACGGCTTACATTTGGCACAATTTGATGCCATTAAATATAACAAAGCAATATAACAACAATTAAAACAACAAATAGAACATTAACAAAACAATAAAAACAGTATTAACTGCCATATCACCATTCCAATCAAATTCCATATCCAAAGCGCTATTTATGCCTGCTGTCCAAAGCCTGGTCCCAGAACCACAACAGGAGAGATGAAGCCGATCTTACCTCGTTGGGAAGCGAGTTCCACAGGCGGGGGGCTACTCTGTCTCTCAATAGACTCTTAAGTATCTTATACCTAATATGATGGCCTCTATGTAAATTCACATATATCGAAAGCGCTTTAAACCTAACCAAGTACATTTATATCCTTAGTGTTTGAGACTCTTACCACCTACTGTTTTAGGGAAGGTGGTGAAGAGGCCTTCTATTATTTTATTTAGTTTCATCTACACTGCCATATAATGTGGCATAGGAAATGAATTGACCTGAGGCATCCAAATGATGCTCCAGGCCAGACCAGTCCATATCAACCTGGAATAAACCTCAGTTTCCAGGTTTATTCCAGGTTTACAAAATACCTGTAAAGATCAGGACCTTCTAATACGGTCCAGATCTTTGCAGATATGAGGGGTGTGGGGATTGTTGTCTGAGTTTGCCGTGCAAGATCTCAGGCAGCTGTCCCCATAGCCATCCCACCTCTGCAGACTCAAGCGGCCTGGGGAGCTGGAATGGCAGTGCCATCTCTCCTCCCTGTAACCCATTTTGCCCAAAACCGTACCTTAAAAACCTCAGTACCAAGGCACATGGCTTCTCTGGAGCTCTTGGCATTTCAAAAGGACAGAATGGAGCTTTGTGTATGTGAGTGGGGGGACGTGGAATTCCCCTTTCCTGGCATGATTCTTCAGCACCAAGAGATACAGAAAAGCCTCGTGCCTCAGTACTGACGCTTTTAAATTATGTTTTTGGATAAAATGGGGGCAGGGAGGAGAGGGAGCCAGTGGCCATGTCAGGCCATGCTGACACCCGTGCAGAGGCGGCCCTAGGTAATTTTCAACGGTAAGCAAACAATATTTTGGCGCCCCCCCCCCCAACCAATCACTGATATATATTTTCTGTTCGTCGTGGGAGTTCTGTGTGCCATATTTGGTTCAATTCCATCATTGGTAGAGTTCAGAATGCTCTTTGATTGTAGGTGAACTATACATCCCAGTAACTACAACTCGCATATGTCAAGGTCTATTTTCCCCCAAGAGCGCCTCAAGAGCGCCCCTGGGCAAAATCAACTATACTGCAAATGCTTATTTTGCATAATGGGTTGAGCCGCCCATGCCTGTGCTCACTATGCCATTTTTAGGACAGAAAGTGGACAAAGGATTTCTGCCTTCTGTCTGGAAGGACCCTTTATTGCATGTATACCCCACACTTCTGCTGTCTAAATGGTTGTTGGCTTACTCATCAGGTATTGTGTTTGAACAGAGTAGCTCCAATTTATTCCATCCTTATTCACAAAAGTTTCTGGATCCAGATAGCATTACAAGACTTTGTGTGGCTCAATATCTACTACTTGTAATTTATTGAGATCGACCAGGTTTATGTGCAATAATGACTGGAATGACTACGATTACAAATTGTATGGTTTCTAATCATTGTTTTAATGTTTTATAGTTTTTCATTCTATGCTTTTAATGTATATTTTATACATTATAATGTATAAAATTTTATACATTTTAATGTATATTTTACTAACTGTCTGTTGATTAGACACCAAATCGGTGCCTATTGTAAGGCCGCTCTGAGTCCCCTGCGGGGGAGAAGGGTGGGGTATAAATGTGGTAAATAAATAAATATGTTCACTGTGTGGTGCATGGGTTTGGATATAAAAAACTTGGATTTGTTCAGATCCTTGTTCTGCTATGAAAGCTACTAAGAAGTCATGATTGTTCTTTCTTAATCTAATTAATCTCACAAAGTGACTGTAAGGCTGAAACTGTGTTGTAAGTAACAAAGAGTTACTTACAACACAGTTACTGAGTTTTCCCTGTCTGATTGCTGCTGGATCAAGTATCAGTGTGTCCTCCATGCTGCTGATTTTGGCAGCATGCTTTTGTAAGAAGGGGAGAGAACACAGTTTCTTGTGGCTTTATTTTCAAACAATGGACATCTGGAAAGCATACTATGCTTTTTGTCATGGTTGCAATACTCTGTCCCAAACAGCAGGCAGAATCAAAGAGAGCACTTAACCTTTAAGAGTTACAGTTTGTGTGTATGTGTGTTTTACTTCTTACAATTATAATGCCAGACCACTGAAAATATAAATTCTCTCTCCTGTCCTCATCCATCATTGTGTAAAAGGTAGTGATGGATGAGCTGGGAAGAGTCTGCTAGAGTTAAACCACAAACTGAGTCAGATTGATTAAAGTAAGGTAATGTTTAAAGGGGTTTTTTTTGGTCCATGGCTATGCAGGAAGGTCAGATAGAAGAGGCTTCATTCTATCAAATCATCAGGAAGGTGACTCATATATCCTGGTGAATTTAAGTTGTTTGGAATCGAGAGTCAATTTTTTTTGGATTTTTAAACAATTTATTATTGAAATCTCTATTGTTCATTTCTATATGCTGATTTAATAAGTAATCTCCAAGAAAGTTTAAAGTTACTATATTTAATTTTGACATTATCCAAGCACCAGGCTTTTTATATTAGAGAGTACTTCACCATTCACTATTTTTGTCAATGTTTTAGTAACTTGGGAATATTAGGGTCCCTTGGAAGCTTATCATGTTTCTCAGTGAAAAGATTAGCAGTTGGGAGTCCTTGAAAACTTATCAGAAGTTTCTCAGTGAGAAAATTAGCAATTGCATTTTGATAATTATATGGCCTAATTCCAACTGCAAATCTCGACTAAACAACACCTGTTGAATGAATTATTGAATCATAAGTGAATACTCATGGAAACCCCACTAATACAATCCCAATGAGTAGGACATTGGTCTAATCAGAGTTACTAGTGTCAGCTAGAATAAACACATTAATTAATGGAACTTGCTTAATGGAACTTGCTTAAATTCAGGGCACTGTGCGACTGACATGACTCATGTTGCGCTTGCTGGCTGCCTCAACAAAGAAGATGGAGGACGTTGAGCACGATCCCATGTCGCCAGGCCACCCAAGCACAGGGAATACTGTATGACCTCTTGGAAATGGCCCAATTGTTTACACCAGCCAAAGTTGCGGTGTGTTCTGGATTCTGAGTGTGAATTTGGAGAAACCCACTGCTTTGGTTAACATAGTCCAAGATAACATTAAGCAGGTTTGGCCCATGTTAACCCATACTAGCTCTGTGCATCATTTAGCTATCATGGTAAGTGGTCCATGTAGATGTGGTCCTAGCCTGCTAAAACTAGGAAGAAAATCCACATGTATTGTGATTATATATATACATACACATACACACACACACACACCATTTGCATGCTGTTTTCATTGGTCAGTGCACTTGAAGTTTTTTTTAAAAAAATACATCAGCAAAATCTATTTCCAGGACTTCTACTGAAGTTCTACCTTTATCTGGTTGCCATTTTGTGATTGTTATGAATGTGGTTGTTAGCGTCTTATAGTACTATTTAATTGCAAGTTTAAAAATATTTTCTTTATTTAATTGCAAAAGCTATTTCATAAAATTTTATTAGTAAAACGTGTTCACTTTTTAGTTATGAAAACTTATTTTAGATTTGAAGAGATTAGTCATTATCTTGAAATTACTTCCTTTTTAATTCAACATTTTATTAGTTTCATTTTGTTTTTAATGAGAAATAAGATTGAAAAAATATCAGCTCAGACAAGCAAATGGTATCTTCAGTACAACACATATTAAAGCAATTATCGTGCAAATATTTAGATTTTCTACATTAAGCTGATTGCTAGAAGCACTGCTAGTTCTGGAGCATGGGAGGAAAGGGAAAATGTTGAGCAAAAGGTGTAATGTTTAGCCCTTTTCAAATACTCAGATAAGTTTTATGTTCATTTTAGAAGCATTGGTAACACAATATGAAACATAAATAGCTTTTTTGTATGAGTTCTTTTGCAGCCCTATATTGTTTCCATACAATGATCTCAAACATTTCCTTATTTTTGGCATCATTTTTTGGAAACCGTCCGTTTCTTGCAACAATAAAGTGAATGCCAATATTCACTTTAGCAACAATATTCTTGTATTCACAGTATAGCTATTCCCGTTCCCAAGGATTATTTATTAATCCCTTCAACTCAAAAGAACCTCATCTTGCTACTTGCAAACCGGTGAAGTATAGGATATAGCATACCGCACAATCCAACTCTCACTATTTGGCAGAAACAATTCCTATTAATCCTTTGGTCCACTGTTGTTGCTTTTAAAATATCTCAGTCCCTCTCTCCTTCTCTCAAGGCACATCTCTACTAGCCACTTAAGTCGATGTGAAACCAATTTTCACCGGATTTTTGTGAACAGATGATTAGATGGAGGTCCTGGAACCGATTTGAGGCATAGGTTGTACTTCTACGTATCACAGAAGCTAGCCTTGAACCAGTTCCAGGGTCTGCAGAGAATGCAGGATGTTTTTTTTTTCAAATTTCCGTGCCATAATGTGCATGTGCAGATTGCAAGAATATCTCATTGCCTTAAACATGCAGTGTGGTTTACACTAAAGTGTGCTGATGTACATGAAAGGCT